ATCACCATGAGTCAGTGAACCGACTGACGAGGAATAGTGTCCTGGCTCTGAGGTAGAAGAAGGGCGAAAGCTGACTCCCACCCTGAGGTCACCACGATGAGGCGCCAAGGAAACGATTCCGCGGTACAACACTGGGATCAGCGGGTCGACGACCTGTCAGAATCTAGCTACAACAAGCTTCAGCGCATCGTGAGCTCACTCGCTTACTTGTATAATGCCAATATAATTGATCCACTCCAGTTAGCTGAGATAGTCTATTGCTTCCAGATATGTTTGATCAGGGCGGTCAGTGCTTTGCAAAGGAAAGTACTAGAACTTACATATTGCGGGTTTGAGGGAATCAGGTGGAAAAACGATGTGATCCCGTTTCGGACCTCAGCCTCCGAGGGAGACTCTAAACTAATCGATCATGGTTCAGCCTGCACCACATGAACAGGAAGTTTCGGAAGCAACAGACCAGCTGAGTTGATATTGTAAGTGCTACGTACAACCAGTCATACAGTCCAATTTGATGTGAATCAGGGCACCAGGCTGTGCCTGATTGTCTTATTGAAGCCTGGCTTCCTAGCGCCACTGTAGCGGGTCAGTTGAAAGAGCTTGCGGAAACTGCCTACTGCTCTCACCTCCTCCACTGCTTAAGCTCAAACGATCTACCAGGCTTCCTTGGCATCGTTATCAGTATACACCTAAGCTAATGGTGAAATTCACCACAGTGACTGCGCTGCAATACAGAACTGAAAAAGTACATACAACAAGTGCACACCACCTGAGCTACCAGTAACGGATGAGCATCCTTCCAGAAAGCCACCAGCTAGCTAATATGCAGCCAAATATTATTACAAAATTTGTGATAAGCTTCCTTGTGAGCACACAGGCTTTGTATTATTTTGTGCCCAATAATCGGCTGCCTTCACTATGCTCAGTCAACAGCCCGTAAGTTTCGGTCGATTACAACATTTTAGTAGGCCTACTTGACTGAAGTCCGGGAAAACTTCTAAATTGCGCAGCAAAGTCCATGGAAAAGCAAAAGCGTGCCAAAGCATAATCACAGTGGGTGTAGGTGTTCCAGAACGTGCGACAATCCAGGATGGAATCACGCCATCGGGAACTTGTGGCAAACTGATGTAATGGATCCATCGCTGGTCAGCCACACGGGATGCGAAGTGACACTCCGGTGTACACTGTGCCTAATAACGGTACAACTTAGAAACGGCCGATGGTCCGCACCCAACTGTAAAAGACGCTCGCCATTGTCCGTTCGATCGGAGTGAAGTCAGTATTAACTGAGCGTCTGAAGAGATCAGACCGCCACTTGCGTATTCATATCCCTGCGACAACAGTTGAAGAACAGGTAACAATGTGCAGTAGCGTGCTAAGTGGAAAGCACACGTCATTAAGTAAACTTCTTTGATGTTATCAAACAGGCTCCACACATACGGATGTTCAGGGGAAATCAAACATCCAACGATCACTCAGCCTCTGAGCTGAGAACGCTGCACACTCCAGCATGCTTAGTAGTTGCCGCAACAGTGACTCCAGGTGCGTGCAACCAACCTAGACACAGTTAGTTCAACATCTACGTGAGGATTGTTGACTTTAGTTTCGGACACGAAACATTCAGCAATAAGCAGAGTGTAGAACGTGCGTGTAAGCACAACCAGCTGACTTATGCGTCCTAGTGCGAAAGTTGCACGCCGAAAGTTCGAGTTTGTAAGAGGCGATTGCAGACAGATCAGATGGTGGAACTGCAGTGGCATTGCGGCTGCTGTCAAGTAAGCCGGGAATTATGGAAGTAAGGTTGATAATGGAGGCAGGGCGGGGAGTGCGAGAAACAGCTGGGAAAGAAAGAAGGAAGGCGCCGGCAGTAGTATGTTTTTGCTCATCCACTTTGCTGCATGCAGAATATAAGGCGATCAGTGTAGAGCTGTGCGACAGTCGATGCATGATGTGGTTAGGGCTTGAGGAAATTTTCATGGTCTCATGTGAGCTGTTAGTATGAAGAGACCCATACCTAAACGTGAGGAAGAATAGGGTCCTCAACTCAAGCTTTTGGCTCAAAAGACTTTCGGCAAGGCAGCAGAGAGGTGACAATGATTTGCTTTTAGAGAAATGGATGCCAACCCATTTCTAACTAACAATCTGGAAAAGCAGCAGACTTTGTCTAAGCTGCAACCATTCACCAACCTGATATATGTAGATAATGGTAATGGGTACCATGCAGTATGGCGTAATGCGTCGAAGAGGTACGCAAACTGTCGCGCCATGTTTAGGGCTCGTCTCGTAATTACATTGCCCAGGCATGCGAACAAAGCCCTCCACAACGGTTGAAGAATACTGAACACTGGTTCGAAGCAGCGAGTAGAGCTTTCTCTGTGTAGCTGAATCATTCGTCGCTCTTGGACATATACTCCTTATTTATCGTTCCGCTCTCTATATTTTGCCTCTGCAAAGTGTTTGTCTAGGAGCTTCTTAAATTCGGACACTGAGTTCGCCCCTACTATGTGCTGCGGCAGGTCGTTCCAGACATTAACCACTCTGCGTTCGAAACAGAGTTGGTGAGCGACCCGCTTCAACTTCGGTACGATTAGTTTATAACGGTGTCCTCGCGCGCAGCTTGGTATGCGCAGATGAAGCAGTTGCCTCAACATGGGGTAATCACTCAGATGTAATATCCGGTGCGTCATGATGAGGTCAACCCTTAGCCGACGAAAAGCTAGGGTGTACAGCCCGAGTTTCTTACATCTGTCTTCGTAGGGCATACCTCGTAAGTTGGGAATCAGCCTGGTGGCTATATGCTGCACCCGCTCAAGTTTTTCTACCTCGCTCAGGGTGATGGGACAATACGCGGGAGAGCCGTACTCTAGCATTGGTCGTATTATCGAGACGAAGAGACGAGAAGCAATCTCTTCGGACCAAGTGCTGAAGCTGAGCCTGAGGGCCCAAAGTATCCGAAGGCTGTTTTGGTACAGCCTATTCGAGTTGTCAATGGACTTTAGGTCGCAGCGTGAGAACACACCGATGTCGCGCACGCAAAGAACGGGATGCAACGGTTGACCAGCCACTGTGTACGTTCGGGTGTGTTCACAGTTACCACACCTCATAAATTGCGACTTGGCAGGGTTGATCGGAAGGTTAACCTCTGCAGACCATGTCGAGAGGCGGTCGAGATCCTGCTGAAATAAATCACAATCATTGAGTGTGCGGATTACTCTCCACACCTTCAAGTCATCTGCGAACAACGCACAAGATGATTGGAGTAGCTGAGGCACATCGTTTACATGGATCAGAAACAATATCGGCCTCAGTACAGTGCCTTGGGGCACGCCGCTGCTCGATGGATACCAGTCAGTTAGATGGTTGTCCACCTGGACCCTCCACTTTTGATCAACAAGAAAATTTCTGATCCATTTGTGCAGCGAACCACCAACACCGCACATCCTCAGCCTGTCAAGGAGCACTGCATGGTTAACTTTGTCAAAAGCCTTACTGAAGTCAATGTAAATGACGTCGACCGATTGGCCTTGGTTCAGCGCTTGTAACCATTCGTGCCTCGTCAACAGTAGGTTGGTGATGCACGAGCGACCTTTCATGAAACTATGCTGTGCGGAGGTCAACAGGTTTTTCGACTCGAAAAGCTGCAGAAGGCTCTTCTTCACGATCTTCTCGAGCGTCTTTGCTAAAATAGCGGTCAGGCAGACTGTCCGGTAGTTATCCACTTTGCTTGGGATACCATCTTTCGGTATGGGCTTTACGACTGAGCACTTCCAGTCGTCCGGTAACAGTCCAGTGGACAGTGACCTGTTAAACAGTTCAGTTACAGAAGGAGCGATGATGGCCGATAGGGACTTGAGGATCAGTGGGTGTATACCATCTGGCCAAGCAGGCTTCGTCCCGTCAAGATTTGCTAGAAGCTTGCGCACATCCTCAATATTCCAGTCCAGGCTGTTAAGTTCGGCTGGAGCGGTACTCGTCGAACTCGGTACAGACACCTGGTCGCTTACAAATACGGAGGCGAAGTGCGCCGCCAATGCGGATGCAAGATCTGTACTCGAGCTCAGGGGCTGTCCTTCTGAGCCTTCTAACACTGGGACATTGGCTACAGGCCTCAGGCGCCGTTTCACGTATGCGAAGATCCTCTTGGGAGCAGTTTTTGTGGCGGTTGCAAGCTTCTCTTCGAAGCTTCTGCGTTTTCTTGTTTTCACGTTGTCGCAGCGATTTCGCTGTACCTTGTACGCATTGTAGTCCTCATCAGAGCCAGATAACACGGATTTGTTCCATAGTTTGCGTCGCCGTCGGGCCAGTTTGTTGTACTCTTTGTCAAACCAATGTGGTTTGACTGGCCCAACTTTCCGAAATTTGAGTGGTACAAGGCGGGCGCACAATGATTTCAATCTCGCTTTAATGATAGTCCAACAGGTTTCAATAGATGAATCCTGTGGTAAAGACCAGTCTATCTGACTCGCTGCTCGAATGAGGCTATTAAAGTCCGCCTTCCAATAGTTGAAGGCTGATTCTAGCGGGGGAGAATACGGCAGTGGTAGTTCCAAATTGCCTATGATCACCGAGTAGTCGCTCGCTCCCAGAGGCTCTAAGACTTGAATATTATGCACACGCTGCTCACAGCTAGTTAAAAGCAGGTCTAAGCACGATGGAGTCGCGCGCGCAGTAATGCGTGTCAGTCGTCATTTTGCTAAGGTTGACGTTTGGTGGATGGAACGCGGTAATCCATCTCAACAAGGACACTGAATTATTACGAAATGGATCGCGATCAGCTAAGCCACAGATACCGTAGCTAAAGTCAAACGATCCAACAAGATCATTCGTTTCGTAGTGCAGTAATTCATGTGGACAGTAAAACGCTCTATCTAAAAAGGTACTTTAGATAGTGAGTAACAACATGAGAAAGGTAGTGCAACATTTGCTCTACTAAAAATATATGATAAGGCTGATCACGGTAAATGGAAAACTTTCTTACGTTATGTTGTCATCCAAGCACTCACCGATGTGAACGGATTTGACGTGTTCTCGTAAATCACTCTCCTCAGTAAATGATTCGTCGCAGCTTTTACATGCATATGTGCGCGGATCTGGATAGCGAATCAGAAGGCAATTATGAACAGATGAATCGTACATTGACACACAGAATATACGGCGTGCACACCGGATGTGGTACACCAATGAACTCGAGCATTTTCAAAGGGATTGGCATTGGATGCTTATATGATTTTGTGTCGTAATAAAAGATGGAAAACTAATAGATATACCAGGTGATACCCATGGGCAACCGCGTTGAGGCGTTAGATAGCGTGGCGCATCTGTGTCAACTAAAGAGCAGAAATTGGGCACAGATCGCAAATCATGTAGAAGAAGCAGTCGTAGAAGACAGGATGAGAATCGTAATGGAACAAGTTTCGTCAGCGACTAATCGGATGTCACACGACATCGAATTAGTTGCTCAAACTGCACTCCACATTGCTGGCCTCCTTTAGTCAACAAGTTAGTAGCTAGAGCACGAATTGTCGCGTCCAATGATCCCAGCTGTGAGATTCGCCGTGACACCGCAAACGACTCTATGTGACCAAGTGTTTATGTAGGATGACGCTATATCATTTGCCTCTGACATTCCCTTTTAACAGATGTTTATCTTGTCGCTTTGGAAGGTAGTGGGTAATAGACAGGTAGACACCTTGTCAACATGCACATCAAGCGCAGCCACATGAGGGATATCAAGCAAAAGCCAATCACTTGGAACGACAAGATGAAATAAAATAAATCGAATAATGCATAATGATACGGTGACATAACTCTTCGCTAAATTACCATATGAAGTAAATTGGTTAGCAACGAATCCGCGATAAGTAAAAAATGTCCACAAGTTACTTAAAAATGCTACAAACAAAACAAAGTTACCGAAGATAAGCGAAATCAGCGTAAGTAACGTGCCCAGTTAATAGAAGATTATTCAGGTAGGCAGAATAAACCAAATAAAGTGGAATAAAATGTATCCAGCTTAAAAAGACCTAGTGTAAGTTGGTTTAGCCCAACTGCGGTGAAGAAGCATCAATAATGCAACAGCAGCCTCAGCATGGGGCATATATATATATATATATATATATATATATATATATATATATATATATATATATATATATGTATATATATAGTACTGTTTTCGTCCCAGCTGCTCCAAGCTACACAACCTACTCCAAGCTGCACAGCCTAGTTCGGAAAATCACCAGACGCCTTTCTCCCCATTGGGGCTCGTCAGTGGTGCACATTCTCTCGATCCTCTACTGGGGATCGAACACGACTGCTAGAGGTAGACGCCAACTATCCAGGAGCTTAAGCCACTGAGTCATAGGGGACGTCGGCTAGGCTACACACTTTGCAAGCTAACTGGGATATAGCACGACCTAGCTTCACAATCTGTGGACAGATATTGTGCCATCGGAACCATGGTGGAATAGGAACACAGGATTAGATTAGAAGAAGAAGGAAAACCATTGATTTCTGTCCATTTTCCACTCAGTTTTTGCGCTTTTTGTTATGTTTATGTATTGGGTGGAGGGAAGGGGAATAACCGCAACAAGCAGAGATACGCGCCCGCCACTGAGTACGGTTTGGAGCCATAACTTCCAACGTTTCCAACCAACGGCAGTCAGCATCCTTGGGACCCCGTCCAGGGAGATCAAAATAAATATGGAACCTGTCAGGAGCAAACAGAAGAGCGTGTGCAAATACGTTACGCCTTGGAGTGTAGAGTTTCAGAGCAGCTTTCTTCCAACACTGCATTCTATGACCGACCGGTTTCGTCCTGATTTGGATTAGTCCGTAGAAAGCCTGATATGGGATTGGAACGGCACATAGTGAATGACGGTTATCGCCGTGATCACTTTGCCAATGAGCACCGTGAGCAGCGCTTGATACAGTGGTTAGAAGTTCATTATTTGGTCTTGGAAGACTCGCCGTGTGTCTGGATGGCGACACGCAATTTTCTTTGGGGCTACAGTTTGCTTTGAAGCAAACCTATGCCATTTCGATCACTGGGACAGCATACGAAGTGGAGAGTTTCGGAGCTGCTTTCTTCACACTGCACTCCACGACGACCGGTAGGGTCCTGTGTTGGAATCGTCAGATAGAGATAGCCTGATGTGCATTGCATTACCACTCCCCTTAAACCATCCAGTGTTGACGGTGGATAACCGATGTGTGGCATTCATGATAATTGGGAAGGACTCAAATCTACGCAACAATAAGAAGAGACAGCAGGAGATGGTTCGACGACGCCACATGCGTCACGCATTGACAAACGCCTACCGGGCATGACGATGCAAGGAGCAATCTGCTCGCCAGCGGAAAAACAGATCCTCAGATAGACAAACTACCTACCTGTTCGAGCTGTGAACCTACAACAGTAAACAAGGGAGCAAGCGTGGGACAATCCGGGAACAGCACATTACACTTCGAGGAGGCGAAGCACACCTCGTATCTAGATGTCACAATCGCCAGTAGTTTAAAAATGAGAAGGATACTCGGAGCATAGTCACTAAGGAAGGCGATGTCATCATCATCTATCCAGTAAGTAGAACTTGTAAGCCAAAATTCTGTAAGTTTTCCAGATCGTTTGACAGAAAAAATTTCAGTTCGAAGGAAGATAGGGATTTGGACAAATCTGTTGTATATCGCGACTATAGTCAAGGAGAAAGAAAACATGCCGTGAACTCTCACACCGAAGCATGCATTAAAGTGGTGCTCGAAGAGTTGTTACTATCTGAAAAGTGACCCGCACAGACTTGGTTGAGACGGAAATCAGCTTGCTTTTCCCCGTATCATCGTTCACAGATTAGAAGGCCACCGGCGTCGAGTGGCTCGGTCACTTAGATCGTATCTGATCCACAAGAAAATAGTACAAGTACAGCCAAATGAACTGAGGGGCGTGTTCACGTCACATCATGTTAGTTGATTAGGTAAACTGTACCAGTATAAAACAGAGAGCCTCTAAGTAATAAACACATAAAGGAGCAGCTACTGGTAGAATGAATGGTCGCGCTGAAGCCATGCGATATCGTAAAAAGATGACAGGAACACAAGTGACAAAATCAAAACCAAATGGATTCATCAATCGTACACTCACTCAAATGAGCAGATTTGTTATGCCTTTGCAATTGGCTATTATCGGCAAACAATTTACCACAATGTTCACAAGCATATGGACGTTGATCTGAATAGGAAAACAGAAAACGATTAGTTACTGGGAAACCACTTGGGTAACAACGATGCAGAGAAGTAATCGTCAACAATAGTACATCAGCCATTAAAAATGAAGCATAGCTGCAGTAAAAGCACAAGGATATTGGGAGGAAAGAACATTAAGTGGTGAGGAAGGGGATCTAGCGTAAAAATTTAGTTCCCTAAGCAAACATTTAGAGTTAAGGCATCTACACATCGCCAACAATATACCATCACAAACAGTTGACGATCGGCCAAATATACAGCGATGTCGGTGGAGATGACTCGGCAGACGACCACAGCACCATCCATATATAATGAGGATAAGACGGGATACGGATCAGCAGCTTGAAAGCGATTAAGGGATATGATCGCGCTTCGGAACACAGCGTCTGACGAAGCCCCTAAACTAACCGGACACATCTTGGCCAATACCATCTGAGTAGGAACAGGTCCAAGATCAATGGGCCAACCTAAGTGTTCACGAAAAGGTACGCCCAACGAGTCATGCGGCGCTCCTTATTGTGATTCAGGGCACACGCGGTGTCTCTGACTAGCTAGCTGACGCCATGTTTTTTGGGACCATTGGTGAAGGTCAGTTGTAAGAGCAAGCAACCACTGCTTACTGCTTTGGCTTCCACCACTTCTTAAGGCCTACTAGTCCACCAGCCATCCTTGTCAGCACATCTTGGGCTAGAGTTTCCACCGGGTGAGCGCGCGACCGACTTAGGTTATGCTGATGATATCGCCTTACTTGGTGACGATCCTCAAGGTACGCAACTCATTCTGGATCGTTTGGCGGTTGAAGCATCTAAGTATAACATGAGCTTTGCCCCATCGAAGTGTAAAGTACTGCTCAAGAATTGGCTTTCACCTGCTCCAGTGCTCACTCTCGAAGTTGCACAACTTCAACAGGTAGATAGTTTCGTCTACCTTGGGAGCTGTGTTTCTGCTGACGGCACTATCATAAAAGAAGTTTCTCTTCGTATCGTTAAAACCCAATCAGCATTTGTCAATCTGAGGCACTTGTGGAGTCGTCGCGACGTCTCATTCTCACTAAAGGGCCGCCTTTACAGCGCATCAGTTCGCCCAGTAATGTTGTATGGGTGCGAGTCCTGGCCGATTCGCGTGGAAGACGCGTCGTCTTTCTGCCTTCGACGCCGGTTGCTTAAGGAGGATCGCTCGTGTTTGGTGGCAACATTGAGTTAATAGTAATGATGTTCAACGTCGCATTTTGGGGAATGCGAGTATTCCCTTCAACAAACTGGTTTTGTTGCGCCAGTTAAGATGGCTCGGTCACGTCCTGCGCATGGCACCTGAGCGTCTGCCGCGTCGCGCTCTATTCGCTCGTCAACGACCTGGCTGGAAGCGACCGCGTGGTGGTCAGCCTTCCACTTGGCGGCAGCACATGAAATCGCTGACGTCGCGTCTAGCCGCTGTTGGATCCGTACGTCATGCAGGATGGGGACCCAAATATGAGGAGTGCCAATGGATTAGCACTCTTGAAGACATGGCCCGCAACCGGAATCAGTGGAAGAATTGTGTACGGTATTGTATTGATTCACATGTCTAATGCTACAACCATTGAAAATGACAAAAAAGAGTAAAAGCGGCGTGGGAAAAAAACTAAAAATGTTTTGTTCTACTTTTTGTCAAAATATTCCATTCTTCCTGCGGCATATTAGTTGAAGTGTGTTGCTCACCTTCAAACACCATGCCAGGATGAGTATGACGCCATGACGGTCCCTTATCCGCTGATCTCCATGGCCTTATGTTGGCTCTGTATCTAGTTAGTAGACTGCTGAGATTGCTACTACTACTGTCGGCACACAGGTTCCGTTTTCATTCGTGCCCAATAGTCCGCCAAGTTACATTGTTCTCAGAGATAGCAGGGAGTCTTCTATTGCATTCCGAAATCTCGAACATTCAATGACCGACGCGGTCCCAAATGTCAGGATCTTAAGCAGAGGCGCGCCCCCAGTTGTGCATGGCGATCAAAATCTAATTTCAGCGAAACGAGGGGTTATTAGGAAGACAGCCCCGAACTTCGATACACAGAGCATCCTTGTAGACTCACCTGACTAGAAAATTAGATATCAGTTGCTAATCGACGGAGGCGCTAGGAACGCCTTCCGACAATGTACACGGAAAAATGACAGCGTACCAAAGTATAATCATAGTCCGCGAACGTGTTGCACAATGAGCGACAACCTAGTATCTTCAAAAGAATGCTCAAGGGGCGCATCTTACCAAGGACTAATTGAGGCGAATTCACAGATACTGCGTTTACGTAAGGTCCTGCATGGGCCGTTTAGTATGATCGCGAAGTTACACGCGTTAATTAGTTTTCATTTTCAATTAATTACGCACGAAAAACTAGATTTTTTGGTCCTTCAGGTCGCACCTCGCAACCATCGCTACTTCTGTGCTGTGCCCAGGCTTATTAGATGCGTCTTGTTACCTAGAATCTATCTATCCGCACTGCTTTTTATGTTTTCCTTTCTTCTTTTCGCGGGTGCTTGGAAAGTAAAACCGTAATTTTAGCTAAAATAAAGATAGGGAGTTATTCGCAGTTTTTCGTAACTTGCAAACTGTTGAGGATATCGCATCCATTTCGCCATCATAAGGTAGAGCATCACCTGTTTACTACCTTTGGCTTGTTTGGTTTTACTTTCTCTCTATTTTTCGCCATAGACAGCTCTTTAGGCAGATAGTGCAATTCGTTCGGTCGCCCTTCAAAGTCACTCACTGATTTAATGTATGAATGGCATACTAACTTGTGTATGCCTAAAGAATTGCTTTATCTAGTTGTATTATATTGCGCTTAACATATCAAAATTTGTCTCTAGTCTTACATTTTTTGTCTTTTGCTACGGCATTCATTTGTTTTATTTCCCTCTTTTAACCTAATTCTTCTGCTCTACTTACACAAATAGCGGGAGATTATCTTGGCTGCTTTGGCTATCTGGAGGAAGAAAATGAAGACGTACATCTGTAAGCTGGGTGGTTAAGAAACCCAAAATTACACAGGTGACAAACTGCAACCTAGCATTCACATTGCGGGCGCTGTCATGTCCGTTTGGAATCCCAGCGTTATACAACGGCTGACAAATAACACCTGGAAACCTCATGCATGAGCATGACGCTTCTGTACATTTGGATCTGCACCTCTTGCGTTCAGTCTCTCGCAGACGAGAATATACACTTCTTCTTCTTCATCCACGGCACTAATGGAAACGCGATCTATTTGAGTCCATGTTAGTCAGTAGTAGGTGGACACCAAGTGGCACTGCGGCGCACATTCCGTATAAAAGCGGTGCTACTAGCTAACAGCCGGTGCTCCGCACACAGTTGTAATAGACGCTCGCCATTGTCCATCCGCTCGGAGTTAATTGCATACAAGCTGAGGTTATGAAGAGCTCAGACAAGCGAGTTACATGTTCATATCCTTCGCAAGGATTATGATATCCCAAATGGAGACACTGTGTAGTAGCGTTTTCGCACCGTCATAGAAGGCGTCTTTAACAGCATAAGAACTGAAGTCGGCGGGAACATCAGGGGAAACCAGAGTCTAGTGATACGTGAACCAAGTTTCCTTGATATCGTCAAACGGGCTGCACACAACCGCCGGAATTCAATCAATCAAGAATGCCCACACCAGTATGACAAGTAGTTGCCGCATCATCGTCATCGGATGCGTGCAACCAATAGGGACAGGACAAGCCGGGAGCAGTTAATTCAGAACGCCGTGGGGATCACTGATCAAAGTTTCGGATACAAAACACTCGTTAATACACAGAGTGTCCAATGTGCGTGCGAGTGTAGTCTGATGACCTACTTATGCAACCGTTTAAGGCCGAATGGGAAACGGGACAGTGTGGTCTTGTAAGTAGCTGTTGGCAGTTGGCATCCAGTGGGTGGAGCAGGAAGTTAGCTGTAGATGGCAGAACTAGAGCAGCGTTGCGACTGCTGTTAATTGAGTTGGGAATTATAGAAGAAAGGGTAGTAATCGGGGCTGGTAGGGGAGAAATAGAAACAGGTGGAAAAGAAATGAAGTGTCAGCTATAGTATGTTTGCACTCATCCACCCTGCTTTATGCAGCATATAGGATGACACCTGATAATCTACGCGACGGTCGATGAAGGATGTGGTTAGAGGATATGGTCATGTCTGAACGTGAGCTCAAACCTAGACTGGAGGAAAACTGAGTTGATCTGACAGTTAATCATTGATCGACATGGTAGGAATAGCTCTCAAGGGGTCCGAGAGCCTCATCAGGTATAGCTCAATGGGTGGACGATTTACTCATCCGTTGCACCACGTTCAGGTCAAGTCTGGTTGCGACTGAGCGCATGTTTCGATCCTTCGTGATGACAGGTCGATTCGGAGTTCCCAAGGTTTCCGGTAATGTGATACCGCAGTAATGCTTAGCTGTTTTACTTGGTTCCCTAAAAGCAATTAGGGAAGATTGTGGAAGTGCAAGCCATGCTATTGTGTCGACTAAACTGTTGTACTTTTGCACTAATAGTTACAAAGGTTTTGCAAGGGGGGTCGTCGAACACACAGGACAGAGTCGAGATGAGCGCGGCATGCCGATATGATTAGTTGCTTTAACTTGTTACGTTCTGACGCATTGCGTGTGCTGACCACATTCACAAGACTCGGTTTTATTCGTTTTGGTTTGCCTCAGCTACGAACTTGTGAGCAGAGCCGTGAGCGGGTAGTGCCAGCCAATCACGGTTCAGCTATGGGTGCAGGCACCCCTTAACGGTTAGCAGTAAGTCCAGAAACAGATGTCGCCGGCTAAAAGTGTCAGAGATGAAGTTGGTTGAATGTGCTACCTGTACGCAGGTCCCTCATACACTATGCTCTGGCTTGACAATATCGATCTTGTGGGAATATCCAACTTGATTTGATGTGCGTGACTGCTTGGAGTTACTCGCTCCCGATATCGCACACCTGACCGATATCGTTTGTGTTTACAGCCATCAAGTACAAATAGACAAGAAGCGGAATTCGAAACAGGGACGCGGGGATTCCTGGTTGATAGCATCACCACTAGCCTATCGAGTTGCGCGTAAAAAGGTTTATCCTGAAGGTTGGAAAATGATTGTCGAGTTATCTAGAGTATCCGTTGGGCGTGGATAGGATGCGGCATGCATCGTCGGCCTAGGCTGCGATTTACCGTGAAGCGAACCTCAAGATCAAATCGGATCTGAAGCCAACGACCGATCCAAAAGAGACAGTGTGCACAGAAAAGCGCGCTCGTGTCATATCATGTAAGTTGATCAGTTAAATTCCCTTAAGCAAATCAAAATGCCACTGGGTAACAAACTCTAAAATGAGGTGAAATTGCCAACATTAATGATCACAAAGAAGCCACGCGACATCACCATCGCGTGATAAAATCAAAACTAAATGGCTCTATTAATTATACGCTCACTTGAATGAACAACTTGGATATGTTTTCGCACACTAGCCCTCGCGGAGAACGAATTACCGCAAACTTCACATGTGTAGGGACGTAGCTCTGAATAAGAAAATGGAAAATAAGTAGTTTTACAAGGACCAACTAGAGAAAAGTAATGCGGCATATTGGACATGTTGACAGAATGTGTGTGGCATAATAGGGAAGTAATAGCGGCTACCGGATTTCGGAATTAGAAGTGAAAAACAATGCCTCGTTGTGCGCTGGTTTTCGTAAAACGAAAGAGGATGATGTGATAGAGTGCCAGCCTTCTGTCGATAACCCTAACGGGGTGTGCGTATTATGTACGACGTCAGAGGAGGATCATTCAAAGAGAGCAAAATGGTAGGGGATCCATTGCAGCATTCGACGCAAAAGACAATCGGCTAAGTCGTGCAGACAGACGATTATACCTGTGCGACCAATTGAAGTACCCTCGGATTTTTTTCATACCCGGTAGACTAGATTGTTCCCCTCTCGGATCCAGTTTCCCACTCCGACAGGCTATCCCAATTGCTTCCTTCCTTCTTTGCTTCTTTTCAACTCTGAGTTGCATAGCAGTCGTAAGAAGTAATGCTATTGTCGTCCACATATTTCTCAGAATGAAAGCCTTCCAATTCGCCCTACTTTCATTAAAATCAGTTCAGCCGTACCCGGCCTTTTCGTCGATCGATACCGTTTTAAACTCCTTCAACCTTCGACGTTATCATGCTTTAACTCCATAGGCTTCCGACACTGACAGTTGGCTGGACCTCTATTGTCTCCTATATCGCAGGTTCAGATGTTAGTTTGACAGACACGAGATCGCGGCACCATTTCTTTACTCTGCATTGTAAGTGTTTGTGTGATGGCGACGCGGTACGTAGTCGAGCGATACCACAAATAGATTGCTCATCGTTCTGCCAAAACAAAACCTAGCCTATCTCAATGCCAGACAAGGGGGTACTGGTCTCTCCTAAAAGACATGAGCGCCTCCGGGTGATGCCGAGTTTTGACAAATACATCTTGCTTTATCTCGACGTAACCTCAATCCTCCTGCTTAAATGACTGGAATAAGATATGATCCGACGGTGATTAAAATCTAAGTTAGATGAGAAACTGCAGAGTTGAGAATTCATATTGAGTGTGTTAGCTCTTCTGTCGTGGTGGCAGTGAGGAGACAACCTTACAAGTATCCCTGAAGCAAACAACTGCTCACAAATGGGCTCTTCTGGTTGTCACGAATACAATCCATCGCAACTTCGTAAGGGCTGGTCTACAACATCATGTAACGTCTTTGTTTCATTGGCCTGGGGATTTTCGAGGAAATGACAAACTGAGCATTACAACATGGCTCCCGAAATCGACTAGATGGAAACAACAGTCTCGTGATTCTGCGAATGCTGGTTTCGCTGAGAATATTCCATTAGATCGCAAAGTTTGGAACCGCTTATCGAGGGGCAGCCGGTCCAGAAAATTCCTCCCTTTGAAAGTGCGCAGCCAACCAAAAAGTGAAACAACAGCATGAGCGGATGTGGGTGGTGTTCCTTGCTGTGACTCGGAAGACAAGTGCAAGCTACTTGTTCCGCTCTCTCTTCTGCAAACAACTAAGGTATATTCCGTGACACTGTCTAACTTTGGTTTAAGGAGAAGTTTCGAGATGAGTTCGCTTGCCCTAACAATAACATCTGCCTCAGTAAACAATTCATTTGCTGATAAAATGCATCTCCGCAACTTTCACTCCTTATTACAGGCAGACATGTTGTTGCTTTAGGTATGCGTCCTGTACAGTAACTTGGTGAATGAAACTTCACTGACGTCCTCTGCGTTTAAAGGAACGTGGAACTTATATAAGGCGGGTAAGGAGGCAGATTGTAGTGCTTGTTTTTCTAAGTGCACAGCAGCTGTCCCATGGAGTAGCACGACAAATCGTCGGACTCAAAGGCGGTCGATGACATCGCGTGAGTTACTGTCACAGTTAAGCAATTGCGGAACTAAAACTAAGTGGCTGACTCATAGCCGAAGTGTCGCAAAGCAAAAGAGGTCAGACTCCGTTGTCTCATTGCATCTGAGCCGCCAGTTATAATGGGACTCGAGGTGATTACGGAGGAAATCGATCCCACTAGCTGCTTGTGCTTCTGCTAAGAGAAACTATCGTTATGTGGGAGACTTGTGAGCACTTATTTAAGAGACGAAGCTTGTGTGAACCGCTGTGGTGTTCATCAACTCACCTCAGATGTGGAGAGTTGCGCGTGGATGCAGTTAACGGCAGTCCCATGAACCGTAGCTTGGATAGGCTGCCCAATCTTCAAAGCTACATGAGTCGTCCTCATTTTCTCTACTCGGATGATTTACATTGCTGTCGAGTACGCTGACCTGAGGTTCAACTCATACTCGGACATCGTGAGGTTGAATCAAAGTTCGTGGACTAAGTACTTGGAGTAGCGCAACACATTCCAGACTACGAAAGCCGCACACAACTCCGTCGTGCTTAGACCTGATCTTAACAAACTGCGAACAACCTATGTATGGTGTACAGCAAGCAAACGCTCAGTGCTCATAGCCAGTGTGGATCTATCTTTACCATATTCCAGTCGGCTAGAGTCGTATTACAACTACTGGAAAACGCTCCCACAATCTAAATCGATTCCGGATCCAAATGGACTGGTCTCTGAAATAAGCTGCATCTGTCGAAGACTGTTGGATTGTTATAAGACAGGACGTAACAACATTGTAAGTAAAAGCAGTGTCGGAAAGTTGGGCCAATCAAGCCCTACTGTTTCGATAAGGAGTATGGCAAAATGGTTAGATAGCGGCGCAGACTTTTGAACAAAAGAAGCAAGAAAATGCTTGCAATTGCGGCAAAAAAGCAAGCACCGGCATTTCGAGGAACACCTGGTAATCGCCATATAGGCCGCATCAAAGAGAATCTCTGCTAAACGCCGCAGGTAACCTATCAGTGCTAAAGGGCATGGATGGACATGCCCAAACCTCTGGAACTAGATAAGTGGCAGTCTCGGCGGCGCACTTCGTTTACTTGTTTCCAAATGACCAAGTAGATGTGGCGAGTTCAAGGTGTACTGATTTTACCGAACTTGAAAATCTGGATTGCTGTGTTGAAGCGTTGCGCCGACTACTAGCCAAGCTTGACGGCGTAAAACCCGCTGGCCTAGACAGAATTCACCCACTGGTTCTCAAGTGCCTATCGGCTATTATCACAACTGCCATGAATGATCTATACAACAAGTCAATTCCCGAAAGTTTATTGCCAAGCGACTGGAAATGCTCAGTAGTAAAGACGATTCCGAGAGGCAATCCCAGCAAAACGGACAACTATAAGTCGATTTGTCTGACACCTATTTTGGCCAAGACTGCCGAAAAGATCGTGAAGAAGGGTCTACTACAGCTGTTCTAATCAGAAGATCTATTAATGTCTGCACAGCGACCTCACATACTAAGTCGCGCCTACAGTACAAACTTGATCGTTTCAAGGCATGACTGGATGCAGGCAGTGGACCAAGGGAAGTCTGTTAACGTGATTCACATAGATTTCAGTAAAGCAGTCGATGTTGTAGACTGAGGTGCACATTCACGAAGAGAATCACGGCACTAGTGGATGCGCAAATTTCGCGTTTGCAGAAAATAAGTGATATAGGTCAACAGCCATCCAAAGGAGTGGTGTCCAACTACTAGTGCCATACCTCCAAGCACGGTTCTGAGGTTCTATTCTCAGACCATATCAAAGAGTTACCTCAGTTTTCTCGGTCGCCGTGTGCGCTGCATTCGGATGACCTGAAGATTTCGAGAATGATTAGCACCCGACGACCTCGGTAAGACGTCCATAGCTTCTCCATGTGATATGAAGAAGTCCGCCTCCAGGGCAAACCAAGCAAAACGGTAATCAACCGTCTGGGGAAGGATGGTGACGAACTTAAGCGGCTGATGGCCAACTGCTACATCCAACGCCATCCTCGAAGGACCTTGATATTCTCTCGCGCTGCGATTTGAAATCCGCAGATATCACGAACAGATATATCGTAACGAACTGCCCATGCTTTGAGCGCGCAAACACAGCTTCTGTACTTGGTCTGAAGAGATCGCCACACGCTTCTTCATCTCCAAAAGAAGACATGTCAGAGTACGCATAATTTCCAATCACCTCACTTGAGGCACTGGGGATCGAAAGGGCACAACATGTCGCTACAAGGTTCATTCCGAATTTACTAGGAGTAACGTATGAAGACTGGTGAGAGACACTAGGACACTGCACCTTGTCCTATCGGCGGTTGAGACAACTTCGCCGTGACCACCGCATGTTATATCCCAGCGACTTTCCCATGTTGAGGCCGTTGCCTCATGTGCGAACGAGTGCAGCACAGGCGAACACTGATACAAGCTTGTGGTGCCGGATATAAAACGATAACCCCCACCTCCTGTGCTTCGAATAGAGAGTGGTAAAGATTTGGAACAGTCTGTCAGAACAAGTCGCGGAAGTCAAACCTGTGCAGCAGTTCAAAACACTGTTGAAATTCCATTCAACCCCCTATGAGGAAGGAAAAAGTTCCACAAGAATAATCAGATCACACATTCGTGAGCCCAACAATACTGTAGTCAGACATTTTATGTTACATAAGAGATTGAGTAAAGTTATCGAATCAACAGGTGACAGGAACTTTTTATACGGTTTTCATCGTATCCCGAAGGATTTGGCGTACAGGCCTATAATACCAATGGTAATTTTTGCCTAGCGCGTCATGTGGCACACAATAAATTAGATCAGAACACCAAGCGGCCGCGCACTTTTGTCAGGTTGGTGACAGGCGTAATATTTCCAGGACCTCGATGTTCTCAGTCAACTTCGGTTACCAAAATGTAGTGGCGTATACGGGATTTTGTTCGCTCAATGCCAAAGTGGCCTTCATATGCGTGCGCATTCGAGCACTGTCGGAATAAGATTTCCAGGTATCACAAACAACTATTCACACTCAAAATGTATCTGCCTTTAGAAAACAGTTCGCGTCAAAGGGTATAAAACGGAAACAACTGAGGTTGAATTCTCGCGCCGTTTGGTAATGAAATCGCCA